GGCCACTGCTCTGACCTTTGATTAAATAAATTCTCTACATATTGAAGCTCTTTACTCAGAACAAAAGAAAAAAAAAAAAAAATTGGGCACTTAATTTGCACGCTCGCCTTGCATTGTCCTTCCAAACCCAGCTTGGATTCTTTACTTTATTATTCAAGTCAATCAAGTCCTCTTCTCTTTCTGAGGTCATCTCCTTTGAGTGAAAAAAACAAAGAAAAAAAAGTAGTTTTGCTTTAGAGAAGAACAATGCCAAAAACTTATGTCACTATTTGCTAGAGAAAGAATATTATGCCAAGGAGACAACTCTGCAAACCCAAAAATATTTATGGCAATCTAGCTAGTAGTGACTCATATCTTCAGATTTTGGTGGTGGAAAAAAAAAACTCAGTATGGAGAGAATTAATAAAGTGTACATCCTTGATGAATGATATATATATATATATATATATATAACACTTTATTCTCTAAGAATATATATTAATTCACTTTTTGTGTACCATATCCTCCATGTTATGAGAACCCAATACTTTAATAGATTGCAACTTTATACTTAATTGACTTAAATCAAACAATTGAGAAAGCTTACGCAAATCCACATCTTTCCACTTCACAATTGGATTTTTCCTCTTCGATTTGGCAAATCACAAAAGAAACTAAATTTAATTTGCTGTTCATAGTCATACAAGCATTTTTACACGTAAACTTGGCCTTCGATTTTGATCCAAAAATGAATAAAGAAGGAATTGAAGGAGCGTTAATGCTAAAAATCTTGAGATTCCATCAAATGATAATGAGTACTGAGAAAATGATTCATTAGTAGATATTTTGTGGGAGAAGTAATAGTACTAGTCCAACAAAACATGATTTAGGTCGTGACTTAATAATTGTTGTGGGGAAATATTGTTGGGAGATCTTAATTTGTAATTGGTTTTTAATGGATTAATTGTGGACCAGCAATGAGGGAGTTAATTAAGAACACATTCTCGCATCTTAATTATGTACCAGGAATTTAAACTAAATAAATCTTTCTTAAATAATTACAAATATTTGATAGTAAATTACCTGATTAGCTAGCTTGTACCAGTACTACATGAAAAGAAAAATCACAAATCTAAAAGTAGTATTTTTTTTTTAGTGTGATTATTGCCATATACCATAATGTTATAGTCACACAATATTAATTTTATAGAAATTGATTATATTTAATTTAATTGTTAAAAATAATTAAAAGTGAATAAAATAATTGATATTTATTATTTAAAAATTAAAATAAGTTTATAGACTAATATTTTTAATATTATA